CCATCACCCACGCCGGCCTCGCCGTAGTAGGGGTTGATGTCGAGCAGGTACGACTTGGAGACGAGCTGGCCGTCGGCGTGGCGCATCTCGTACCGGAACTCGGTGAAGTTGAGCTCCGGGGCGATGCTATCCAGCGTCTCGAAGGAGAGCTGCACGTCAATGTCGGAATCCCAGGGCATGATGCGGCCTCCCCACCACCAGCCCATGAGCGTGCCGTGGGCCAGCCACGTCTCGATCTCGTAGTGGTTCGTGACGTTGAGGTAGCTCCGGATGAGGTCCTCCAGGACGGTGCGCCGCTCGTCGGCCGCCAGTTCCTTCTGGAAGTACCGCGTGTCGTAGTGCATGAGCTCGTAGCTGCCTCCTGGTTCCGTGTAGTACTTGGTAGAGCCGGAGCCGAGGTTTTTGTGCGCGTTTCTCTCGATGCCCTCTGCCGGTATGGGGGTTGGTATGGGGAATGACTCCGTGACCTCGACGAACACGGGGCTCTGGAATAAGATGTAGCCCGAGGTCAGCACCATGACGACGCATGCCGCCGAGCACAGGCGCAGCGCCAGGAGCACACGGCTGGACCCCATTTTCAGCAATGGATGGTAGTTGTGCTTGGTGTGCTACAGCGTTGGACAATTCTTCATTGTATGCGTTGCGTTGTTTTGATCAGGCGAGGTGTAGAAATCGGCTTATGAGGGAGTATATAGATGCGCAGGCTCAAGTATGGGGTAGATGCTGGACATGCGAGATGGGCCGTGGCCTTGGAGACGTTTCTGCCCTCGTATCTTGTTCCTGAAGTTGCTCCTTTTACAAAACATGGTCTGGTGGTGTAACCAAGGGAATCAGACGCTTTTGACCATATGGCTCACTTTTGGGACGCGCAAGCACACTGCGAATGGCTTGCCCAGCCGACACCCGAGCACTGGTAACAAAAGGGATGGGGTCAGGCTCCAAACAAGATCGCAGGCTATGGTTACCCTCGGGGGTGTCCTGGACGGCGTGGGCATGGAGGCGTGGTCGCGTGCTCATCCGATGCGGCGTTTCAGGGGAGTTGGCAATCCACCGCGACGAGGCGATAGCGTTCTTTTTTGGCTATTCAGTTCACTTCTTGGCGAGCCCCGGGG